CATTTGAAATTGAAAATTTCTGAATAAAAAGTTTCCAGGAACACTTTTTGAAAGTGTTTACCCACTGGGGCACCATGAATGGTGTCATCCTATCCGTGGGTTGGTTTCAGTCCTTGCTCATTTACTTAGCAGTGATTCATAAAGCACTCACCTTGGGCTAGCCCAGCCTAGGCACAGAGGATGCCAAAGCCATGGTCACCTCCCTGTCTTGACATTCCTGGTACCTCTGTCCTGTCCTGCAGGGGTTTCCCAGCTGAATTTTGGCTCGTTCTGTATGACTTCCCTTTACTGCCCTGAGATATCACATAGTTCTTTCTGCTGTAACTGTTTCTCTGCCCTATGCTCTGTCTTGGTTTATCCATCTATACATTCCTAGGACCTGAGAATAGTAACAGCTACCAAATAGTGAATGCTAGCCAAGTGAGGTGGTGCACAGTTGTAATCCCAGCTACTCAGGAGGCTGAGACAGGAGGATGGCAAGTTTGAGGCCAGCCTGGGCAACTTAGCAAGACTGTATCTCAGAATAAAATGTAGCTCAATGGTAGAATGCTTGCCTAGCATGCACAGGGCTCTGGGTTCCATCCCCAGCACCCAGAAAACAAACATTTAAAGAATAACAAACTCTAACTACCAGGTACTTATGAACATGAGCTGTGGCCCTTCCCCAGCCTTGATAACAGTGATCTTAGCCATTTCTGAGCCCCCTGTTCTATGAGGAGCTCTCTCATTGAATCATTTCATATAGTTTTGCATTCAGTCTCAGTGCCTGCAGATCTCCATAAACAGGCCTATGGACCTGGACCTTAGATTCCAGGCGGAGAGACCTGCTCTAAAAAGAGATTTGATTCTATTTTGCAAATGAGGAAACTGGGTCAAGAAGAGGTTAATTCACTTGCAGGTTTGCATAAGTAGATAGTAGAGCCGATCTGACCCCACGCTACTAGACTCCAAAGCCCTTGTTTTCTCCACTGTCCAAAAGTAAAGATGGCTGCAGATGACTGGGTTGCACATGGAAGCACATGGGACTCTTTAGGGGGACTTGATAGTATGTGTGTCCCCAAATAGAACAGAACAGAACAGAACAGAACCCATTTGAAAGCAGAGCAGACAAGGAAGAGATTTCCCCCAAGTATTTGGATTTAACTGCCAGAATCTTTTGTGTTGCTTACAATTTTTGTCCAATTTAGTCAAGTGATAATCCCTCTCCCCAACCCAGAGATAACCAGTTCCAATAATTTTTGCTTTCGGTGCCATTTCTGTTTGGCTGCACACATTTTTACTCTTGTGTTGAATGATGTTTTCTCTGGATGCCAAGGCAGATGGATGACACTTTTGTTATGATTCTGATATAAATAGCATCTGTTAAAAACTGGACATCAATATTTTCCTGGCAAATAAACAAATATATCAGGGAAATAGCTTCCTCGTTGTGTTTCTGCCTGTGGTTAAGAAGCAGATCTGAAAGTCTGTGATTTTGCTTGTTTAGGGGAAGGGTATTGGTTTGATGATCGTTGCTAATATCTGCCTTAGCAAGTTTTGAAGTAATCTCATTTGTTAGTTGTCTCAGAATTCACTTTACTTCCAAAAATCTAAACTGTGGATCATACATAGTCAGGGATGAGTGACATGTAGACTCCTCACAGTGCTTTAGCTGCAGGCTTTCAGAATGGAGGGTAAAGCTAGCCCAGGCTTCTTGCCTGTGCAGTACTAGGTGTTGATAACTGTGGTACACCAAGAGCAAAGTTTAGGGCTGGCCTGCAGTTCAGTGGTACAGCGCTTGCCTGGCATGCATGAGGCCCTGGGTTCCATCCCCAGCTCTGCAAAATTATTTTTAAAAAAAGAACAAAAATTAATAGAGTGCTTACTGTGTGCCATGCTGGCTGTAAAAAGTTAGTGGAGCTCCCCCACCACTGGAGGGGCTTGGGAACTACAGGAACCAACAGAAACCTGGAAACAGAATCAAAGTGAAAGTCAGGGAAGGACCAGATGATGGATGAGGGAGTATCAGTATTTTCTCCCTCAGCAGAGTGAGGGAGTCACAGGCACCCTTGATCTTTTTGTCCTTTTCTTGGTCAAGAAACCAGTAGGACTAGGTTCTCTGCGATGGCATGATTAATTGTGTTTAGGAGGTTAGCACGGTCTGGGGAAGGAAGGGACTGTCCCAGGTGGGCCAGGGTGGGGGACATTCTAGCTGAAGCAGGAACTAGAGCGGTGGTTGGGAGCCCATGGCTCCCCCGGAGCACAGGGTAAAGATGATGCCGAGCCAAGGGAATTACATCTGCCGGAGTTGTCCCCGGCCAGTTGTTGGTGATGTAAACAATCCCCTCCACAACTGAGAGTTTGAATTTCAGTTTGTATGTCCAGGAGTATAGTATTGCATTAAAAAACAACTGGGGGGGCATTTTAGATTCACAAAGAAGTTGCAGAATTAGCCCAGAGGGTTCCCATGTACCCCCAGCTTCCTCCAGCAGTACTGTCTCACAGAATAACTGGAGCCTGATGATCAAAACTGGGAACTCAGCCGGGCCTGGTGGCACACACCTATAACCCCAGCACTCACTGCAAATTCAAGGCCAGCCTGGGCTACATAGT